TTGTAGATATGTCATAGTCTAATTAGGCTAGTGTTCTTTGTTACTGTTTAATAATATGACGATGAATGACGTGTAACTTTAAATGCGCAAAATATCCTCAAATTATTTTTATTTCATTTGAATTAATTTTTAGACAAAATTATGCATTAACATATAAAACGCCATTCGACGTTAGCGAATGATGACTTCATGTCGTGAGCAAAGTGTTGCCTAGTGCATACGAGGTTTTTAGGTGCGCTTCGGGAATACTAGGAATTTTTTTTGTAAATCCAAACAAGTTGTTTGAAACCGAGTTTCAATAAAAAAAAAAATTTGTGACGAATTTTAGAAATAGTGTAGGGGGTTATATACCACTAGCTACTTGCGCGCAGTTTCACCCGCTCTGCTCGCCTCCTATTGGTCGTAGCGAGATGTTTTATAGCCTTCCTTGATAAATGAACTATCCAACACAAAAATAATTATTCAATTCGAATTAGTAGTTACGGAGATTAGCGCGTTCAAACAAACAAACAAAAACAAACTCTTTAGCTTTATAATATTAGTATAGACTTTAAAATCCTTATTAAATGCGCCAACTTTGGTGAAATTTGCCACTACTACCGCAGTACATTTTTTTTTCATTAAAGGAACTTGAAAGTACTAATTGAATAATTTATTAAAAACACTTAGTTCGTCAAAAAGCAACATTCTTCTCCAAACTAAAACAGTTGGTTCAGAATTTATGATTCCATAATACTGAAGCACTATCCAGGATAACATAAGCCAAAATACAGAAGAAAAAATAAAGAATTGTAGCAACAAGAGTCAAAATACTGGCACAGGGTGTACTTTTTAGTAGATAACACATAAGTCATTGTAATTTAATAACTATCTGACTTGGAATTTTTTAAATGTTTTTCTGATAATTATAGGGACCTTGCCGATCTCCTGGTGTCATTTGATCGTCGACTTCAGGGACACCTTGTACATCTATGATATATAGCCGGATATTAAATAATTAATAGGTAGTTATTAAACCAGCCTTTTGCATATTCATATGCAGAAGAATTAATTTTTCATATTTCTGTGTGGATGAGTCAGAAGGAATACCTACCAGGGTGGTGGTGGTGGTACTATTAGTGAAGTCACTAAAAACCACACCTTATTCAAGATCTTCCCGTTACTTATCGGAGTTATTTAACTCGTCGAGTACCGGTTTTATAGACACAATTAAAGAACAATAGGTCGCAGTCACCGGTGACCGCTTGGTGTTTGACAGTTTAAGTGAATTAAGCATCCATAACTTTAAGTACGGGAGAGCCATGTTTCGGCACGAATGGGCCGGCTCGACCGGAGTGATACCACGGCCACACAGAAAATCGACATTAAGCAACGCTTGCGTTGTGTTTGGTCGTGTGAGTGAGGTTACCGGAGGCCCATTACCCCACTCCCCTTCCCCAATCTCCCCAATCCCTAAATCCGTAACGATCCTCAAACTCCTAATCCCCAAAAGGCCGGTAACGCACTTGTTATGCCTCTGGTGTTCCAGGTGTCCATGGGCGACGCCGATTGCTTACCATCAGGTGATCCGTCTGTTCGTTTACCGGTTTATGCCATAAAAAAATTACCCAGATTCTGTCCTCAAAAGTTAGATGACTTCGTAAAGTGACCTTCTGTCATCAGAAAAGGGTATTTTGCCAAGAGTTTCACAGTCTTTTACGTTTGCACTAGCGAAGAAGCTTCATGGACATTTTCCACCCTAATGTTTAAAAAAGAACATAATTTGACCTGATGAAAAGTCCATTTTGAAGTATGAACATAACATAACATCACGCCTGTTATCCTCGGAGGGGTAGGCAGAGCTGTACATTACGGCATTTAATGCCACTGTACAATGTAACACCCACTTTTCACTATTTATGTTATGAGTCCCATGTAATAGGGGGTGAGCCTATTGCCATATGCTGGGCACAATTCCAGACTCCTTGCTACTAGTGATTAAAAAATAACCCAGTAGTACATTACCCGATCCGGCAATCGAACTCTAGCCCCCTTGTGTGGTAGTCGCACTCGCGACCAATCGGCCAACGAGGCAGTCGATTTGAAGTACGAATGAGATAAAATTACCTACACATGCAGATAGACTATCTATCTATATCTTTACACGTGGGACCAACCTTTATCTTATTATAATGAGCGATGCCATTTTCAATCATTAGTTTAATTAATATCTAACTAAAACAATAAACAGTGATTAGTATTGTCAATAAAACGTACTATTAAAAATATTAAGTACTTCATTGATGTTGGCACATTAACACCGTTCTCAGAATGAAACACTAAACTAGTCCTAATGATAATGTTAGTTTGTTTGTAAGACTGTAACGCGTAAACGGCGGAATACATTTCGAGTGGTTGTAAGTGCGACTACCAGGCAAGGGGTATCGGGTTCGATTCCCGGATCGGGCAAAGTATTACTGGTTTCTTTTTTAAATGTCAGTAGTAGCACGGAGTCTGGAAATGTGCCCGGTATATGGCCATAGGCTTACCCCCTATTACATGGGAGTAATAACATTAATAGTGAAAAGTGGGTGTTAACTCCGTGTGCACCTCTGCCTACCCCTTCGGGGATAAAAGGCGTGATGATTTTATTTATGCACATTTTGATGAATTGTGTTGATTTTTTTCATTCTAAATACAAGTCTTGAAGGGAAACGATAGCGGTATATTTAAAATTAGTTTTTAAGAACGATGTCGGGATCTCAACCTAGTGTTCAAGTTTATTAAACGATAGATAATTAAATAATTAACAAGCGTTTATATGTTTTTAGTAGTTGTGTTCAATGTTCGCGTGTTAATGTGTTATTATGAATCAAGTATTTTTTTGTGATAATTATAACTGATTCATACATAATTTTGTAATAGATCTCCGTTAGAGTTCTTTCATAAATAAGCCAATTTTAGATATCTTCGATGGTTTTCTTGTTTTTTTTAGTAGTGCTATCATATTTTTTATTAATATAATGTATATTTATTTAAAGTTCTCTACAAATTACATTTTTAAATACTACTTATAAAAAAACTAAAAAATAATATTTAAAAATATAAAACATAGGAGCCGACCGAAGCGGGAACATGGTTCAAGCTACCGGTGGTTAGGGCTCCAGAGACAGAAACCTCCTCACGATACGTGCCGTTTCTAGGAGAACTGCCTTCTGTATCAGGCTCTTGATCCATCCACCTAACGCCAGCCTCCTAAGATGGATGTCGAGGCTTTTAGGGATTAACCCATTGGCCGACACGACTGTCTATTTATATTAATATTTTTATTAGGCAAAACAAACATCATCTAGTACATTATGTACAAGAAACGAAAGAAATCTTTAACCTCTGGTCTGTTGGTATATGATACACAATAGAAAACACATTGTGTCGCGCATAGATTTGCGTACCGACACTTCACAGGGTAAACTAATCTTAATCAATCTACTGCATTTCAACCTCTTCTCAAATATTACGTTTTGTGTTATAACTGCGACTAACAACTGAGGGATGATCAACACCATCAATTTTTGTGACTGTCCTGAGATGTCTAAGCCCCCGAGCGTGGGAATTAAAAAAAGATCTTTTAAGAAGGTCTAATCAATGTACTGCACTTCAACCTCTTCTTAAATCTTACGTTTTGTGCTATAACTGCGACTAACAACTGAGGGATGATCAACACCATCAATTTTTGTGACTGTTCTGATAGGTCTTAGCCCCCGAGCGTGGGAATTAAAAAAAATCTTTTAAGAAGGTCTTTATTAAGCAGAAAACGTACCAAGCTGATGACGTTGTCAACTCAAACATTCAGTACTGACGACAAAACCTTTTATAAAGGAAAATCACTTTATTAAATACAAGGTGTAGTTTGAAACCGTTTCATTTCTCGGGGGCATGTTACATAAGTCATAAAGGTTCAATGTAAGAGAAAATTTCGGGCCAATAGTTAAAAATACGGCTATAATAAATCGTTTAAGTTCGACAGTATTTCAGAATAAGCGACAGAAATGTTCCTTATTGGAGTTTTATGGAATTAAGAATAATAACAAATACGTGTTTGAGTTTGTGTGTCTAAAGCCGCGTTATAAAGCTAGTTATAAGACGGCGGCGTGTACTTCGCACTTACGGATTTCCATAATTTCACAAAATGAAAAATATTTACCTACAATTTTTTTTATTGATTCAGACTCAGAATCGAAATCCGAGTTACCTCCTAGAAAATGACGCGTTGTTAAAACAACACCTTGTGTAGTTGTAACTCTAAACCCAAGTTCGCACGCGTTATACAAATGACATAATTGTCTAATAGTTTATGGTTGTATGTAAAACGGTTCATGAGCCGCATACATTTTGTTTCTAGTTTCTTTTACATAATTGTGTCATTAATAGCTATTGACAATCTTGACATGTATTCTGTTATACCTGGGTTTGACCAGTGTATCATGTAGAAAGGCTTGACATGTGTTGTTGTTAATAGTATTATGTGGATATACCTATAGATTAACGGCTATTTTCTATAACCTATCTATCTGTAGATTTGCTTACTGATATAGAATTTTGACACATTTTGTATGGAGCTTATGTAGTACCATTTTCTTTAGTTGATATCGAGTTCAACTGAACATGTTTTAAGTATTTCCTTTGTTTACCCACTTGTTGGTTATAGTTTCTCTCCAATGAGGTTCGTTAACGATTTATCAGGGTGCTATTTAGTTCACCATATTTGGTTCTTTGTGTTTTTTTTTCAAAACGTTCCATTGCCTATTTCGATTCTCTATTGAAAATAGAATGTTAGAATAATGACTAAATCAGCTAATGATGACAACGCAAGATCTTTGCTTGTGGGACGACGCGACGTGCTCCATCATAGACCGCATCATCGCTTACCACCAGGCGCGATAGTGGTCAAACGTCTGCCCATCAAACATCAAATCTTAAAGGCTCAAAGAAATCTAAATGTTGTTTTCTCTTGTCCCCAGGTATTCCACCTTCGCGACATCCGCTGGGAGAGGCCCAGGTTTCTGTCGAAGTCGTTCCTCGCATTCGTGACTTTCAACTTCATCAGCTACTCGCTGCTGGCAGCTGAGGTCCTCACCACGAATGTCGCTGGCACGTCTCCGAAGGAAAAGGTAAGGATTGGGAAGATTTAAAGCTCTTTGGCTTTTTAGTTGAACATTAACCGCTTGAATGCATCGATATGATACACAATAGAAAATACATTGTGTCTCGCATGGATCCACATTTAGACACACGACGGGTTAAGACGTAACTCACAGAATCGTGTTGTCAAAACCAATTGATGATCACAATCTCTCATAATATTGCCCGACTACATATGTACTTGTTTTGAGAATACTTTAAATGACTAGAATCATGAAATAATTGCTTGATCCAATTTAGTTTCCAATATAAAGACTCGGTCAAGGAGAATAAAAATATAAGTGTCGAAGATATCACGAGATTATGATACGTGCATGCGAATTAATCTTTGTCACGAATGGACAGTGAGAATTGGAGACTAAAGTTCAAAAGGTTCAGGTTTTTTTTTTATCAGTGACCGCTCCTCCCCGGTCTCTGTCAAATGCGTACTGCCTTAAGGCTAAGGACACACGGCGCGATTTTCTCACCTTTGTATAATACAGATAAGTATAAGTATACAAATCAAAGCCATTTTCACGGCGCGGTTTACGCTCGCGGCGGTTGCGACTGTTTGTGGCTCCCGCACCCGCGCGTTCTGCGATCGGTTGGCGGGCAATTGCAATGGTACGGCCGGTCTGCAACTCGAACTGATTGTTTAACCGCCATGTGGGCGATAATCGCAACCACGACGGCAGTAAACTGCAATCTCTTGAATTTTGAAAATTCTTCTTCGATTCTGCCGATCGCGCCGTGAATCAGTAAATTCACTTAGCCTTAGTCGGCTCTTACGAGACCATCGAGGAGGGTAGGGGTGATGAATAAACAAAATGTATCCTACTCTGTCGTCACATGACTTACGACTGGTGACTGACGCATGACGGTATACTAACTGTCGTGTATTGTTCCAGAGTTTCTACCAGCACGTGTTCAACGGTTGCTACGCCGTGCTGCTGTTCATCGTGGTAACTTTCTTCCTTATCTACGGCGTGGAGGTTTATTTTAAGGTAAGATAACAAACGACTTCACTTCTTTGGTAGATGTTGGCTCGAATATGAAGTAGCTTTAAAACAGATTTGTAATCTTACAATCTATTTTGTTTTCTGGGGTTGGCAATAACTTGAATTTGCTTTATGGCCTTCTCCGTACTCTTAACCATAATTGGGTATTTGTATTGTAACTTTCGTGAGACATACTAAATATATTACTATGTTTTCGGCTTACTCACGTAGTTATTGACGAGGAACTCGACTAGTTTCAAGCCATACTAGAGGTTTATATTCATGAGCAGCATTTCGCGACCCGCAACGCGGCGACTGACCAGTAGCAGCGCGACAGTCGCCGCGTCGCGGGTCGCGAAATGCGAAAAGCCGAAAGCATAATAACATAATTGGGTACTTGCAAATAGTAAAATTCAATACTTTTTTCGAACTGTCAAAAACGACAGTTTTCTATGAATTTTGTACGAGATTATGTATTGTGACGTCACGTTTTTTTAGTGTCAATCAGTATACTTATTTTTTTTTTAATTTGCTTGCAAAATACTAAAATTAAGTTGGTCATTACAATCAATTAATGAAAGTGTGACTATTTTTTATATTTTATTGTATTAAACAGTTGAAATCATTTAGTTTTGATGTCGGATTGGTATACAAATATGTTGTTAATCAGAGAATGTAACTCATAGAAAGGTACTCTCTTGCTACATTTTAGACGTTGAGCTTAAAATTCCCTAGCAAGACTCACATACATTTTCCTTCTCCAAAAAAACCCGAGTAATCGGTGTCCTTAGACCCCGTAAATTTTTTCTTATTAGTATGTAAGTATGTTACACTGGGACTTATAAATTACATTCATTGTGTCATACTAAGTAACAAGAGTTTCGTAATTTTACGTATATGTTAATTGTGAATTCGTTGTAGCGCGTGTATGAGGTTCGTTGCATGCTAAACAGAGGAGATAAGTCAAATGTATACATTGTTTTGGCCTTACTAAATATTGTGGTATAAAAGTTTTACAATCAAAGTGAGCTTGCTAGGCGCTTTTGCCATACCTTATTGGAAGCAAGCATAACAGCTCACACATAGGACTATACAAAACTAAGTGGAGTTTTAGTCAAATTTCCGTGGTGCTTGGCGACTGGGATTCACCCAGTTGTACAGTCTCTTCTTTGTGCCTTTAGGCTTAATTCACTCTGTCTCCTGTAGTAATTCACTGAGGGAAGTGAAACTACCGTTTTTTCTTCTTCTCTTATAATATCTTCTGATTCACTTCGTTGCGGGAACCAAGACTCATGTCCCTGGGACGCGCCGGACTTCAGTGTTCCGGTGTTTTCATTGTTGTATCTACTGTAGATCCTGGCTTACAGGAGTTGCAGCGGTTTTGGGTGGTTGTGACGGGTTTGTCTCAAAGAAAATAATAAAATATCATAATATCAAATAATAATAAATCCTCGCTTATCGATTAGAGCGAATAGAAAAGTCTGTGCTTGATCTAAGCTTTATTACAATTGGTTTTTCGATTAATTTAATTGGGCTAGTAAGTAGTATCTGTGTGATTAGGGTCAAACAACTACGATACATTAGTGATTTTAACGCTTCATGTGCTCTCTGATATCTCAGTCCATCCAAGCTCTACAGTATCGAAAACTGTTTTAAGGAAGGTCTGTATTCAGCTGTGGACGTCTTGTGGTTGATATAATGACATGTAAATAAAGTATTTCATACTGACACGAAAGCCTGAAAGAGCCATGCTTCGGCACGAATGGGCTGGCTCGACCGGAGTGATACCATGGCCTCACAAAAAACCGACGTGAAGCAACGTTTGCGTTGTGTTTCGTCGTGTGACTGAGGTTACCTCATACCCAATTACCCCCCTCCCTAGTCTCCGTCTCCCGAATCCCCGAATCCTCCACAATCCTCAAATTCCCAAAAGGCCGGTAACGCACTTACGGCTTGGTGTTTCGAGTATCCATGGGCGGCGCCGATTGCTTACCATCAGGTGATCCGTCTGCTCGGGTACCGGCTTATGCTATAAAAAAGTGATAAAAAAACACACATCCTCCACACACCTTATAAGAAGAATGTACTAAGAATGCCACTTCTATTACAAATAAACGAACTACTTTACTCATACTGTAGAGTAGAACAATAGTTCTTTAATATCCCTCCGTTTAAGGAGATTCTCTTTCAACCGCTCGACATTGAATACACAATCGGTATCAACAGAAGTCGCTTATAGAAAGACCTTGAACAGCTACTCACGTTCAAGGTCGTATAGCCTAATGTTACCTTCACAGAGATAGATGATTAACTTCATGTGTCAGTCATATAACTTAACAGTGATGTTTATACCCCGAAAGAGTAAACAAGGATTATGAAATATTCATCTTTCGCTTACAAACTTATCATCATTCAATTGCCATCTAAAGATTTTCTTTGGTTTTCCTGCATCGTTGATTATTTAAAATATATTATTCATTTTCGGAAAATACTTATCTAATAAATAGTTTAGCATTCCTGATAAGTTGTGTATGTCATTTTCATCAACCATACTTCGGTACGAATGGGCCAATGTTCCAGGGCGTTACACCTCCATCATAGCGCCATGGCCACAAAACGGCTACTGTTGAAATACTGAACATAGGTCTACCTTAATGACTTCGAAGTCAGACGGTTTTCCGTGCTTGCGAACAATTCTCACAACAAACTTTCCTGATAGTTGACCGTCCCTGAATAGGTACCTATGTGCTTATTTTTGCACCAAGTGTACTTGATTATAATGTCCCATTGTCTGTTCGTTAGCAGATTATGTGCCATCAACACCATGTTTGTCTCAACATACGTTTATGGTGTCCACGTTATGTGCTAATTCCATGAAATGTTGGCTAAATGTTGCATTGTCAATTGATTGTCAAGGAAGCAGATTGTTATTACATTTTAAACGGGGTCTCAAGTTTCAGAACATTTGTAACTTCGTCTGTATATTGTAATTTTACTGAAAGTCATTGGGCAGGCGCCCGCCTACCTCGTTCGCCGAGTGGGCAAGGGGTCTCGGGTTCGATTCCCGGGTCGGGCAAAGTATTACTGAGTTTTAAAAAAATTCTCAGTAGTAGCACGGAGTCTAGAATTGTGCCCGGTACATGGCAATAGGCTCACCCCCTATTACATGGGACTCATAACATAAATAGTGAAAAGTGGGTGTTACATTGTACAGTGGCATAATGTGCACCTCTGCCTACCCCTTCGGGGATAAAAGGCGTGATGTTATGTTTTATGTCATTAGGACCTATGGTCAGCAAAGGATGTGTTGTAGATACTGTGATGATGATGATTATGGTAATGGTGATACTTTGAACCTAAGATATTTCTTTCCTCGGCATCCATCTAAGTTTTCACTTGCATAGGCTAATATTACCAGGATTTATTCAGCTGTGGTTAAAACATTGTTCTTCTCTATTATATTATTGTAGACATTGGATACGTAACACCAATTTTATTTATTTTTTCTTTTTATTTATCAAATCTTCTATTTTGTCCGTAGCTCCGCGGTGAGTTTCTAAAGGAGACCAAAGTATGCACGATCATATCGCCCCGTCCGGGGCCGTCGAGCGCAGACGATGGCGATGACGTACAGGACACGCTCGTCACCAAACAGGTACGAATCGTACGTATATTGTTTTTATATTATACTAGCTTTTACCCGCGGCTTCGCTCCCGTCACGAAAGGATAAAAAGTAGCCTATGTGACATACATATACCTATCAATACACACAGCGCCATCTATACCAATACTTTTGTTTTCCCTCGGGAATATCACATTCTTTCGGGATAAAAAGTACCCTATTATTTAATCCGGACTTCTAACTTTACGTCTTTAAAAATTCAAAGCAATCGGTTTAGTAGTTACGGCGTGAAAGAGGAACAAACAAACAAACAAACTCACTTTCCGATTTATAATATTAGTAAGGATTATTTATTAACTTCTGTTAGTGATGTTTCTCGTGTTACGTAGAATGAAAAGCCTATGTGTCATTCAATACTATGTATAATCTATATCTGTGCCAATTTTCATCCAGATCCATTTAGCTGACTGCCTCGTTGGCCGAGTGGTCGCAAGTGCGACTACCGGGTAAGGGGTCTCGGGTTCGATTCCCGGGTCGGGCACAGTATTACTGGGTTTAAAAAAAATCTCATTAGTAGCACAGAGTCTGGAAATGTGCCCGGTATATGGCAATAGGCTCACCCCCTATTACATGGGACTCATAACATAAATAGTGAAAAGTGGGTGTTACTTCTGTACGCACCTCTGCCTACCCCTTATGTTATGTTATACATCTAGTTATTCCGTGATTGTGTGTGATTAAGCAATAAACATACAGACAAACTGTCGTATTTATCATATACTAGCTTCCGCCCGCAACTTAGTACGCGCAATCCCGTTTTCTTCGGTTCTGATCTCTATCGTAAGAACCTTTTGAAAATAACAAACACAACTAAAAAAAGATCAGCCAGATCGGTCTAGCCGTTCTCAAGTTATGGTGTGACAACGGGAGGGAAACGGGTTTCATTTTTATATATAAATAAGATATAGATACATAATCGAAAAAAATAGTCATTTCGCTTGCAATCTGGAAGATTTAACCTTAACTACTCCATTGCATTGTGATTAATTTTCCACAATAGAATTATAGTGTTTTATTTCCTTGAATTGTTCCTGACGTCATCTATAATTTTACTCCCTGAAAACTAAGCTTTCCAACGGTTTAAGAATTTTCAAAATCGGTCGATTAGTTTCTGAGATAATCGCATAAACACAAATTCATTCATTCATGCTTAGGCACGAATGGGCCGTCTCGACCGGAGTGATACCACGGCCTCACAGAAAACAACGCTTGGTTACCGGAGGCCCAATTACCCCCCTCCCCAGTCTTCCCAATCCCCGAATTCTCCACAATCCTCAAATTCCCAATTCCCAAAAGGCTGGTAACGTACTTGTAACACCTTGGTGTTCTAGGTTTCCATGGGATACGCCGATTGCTTACCATCAGGTGATCCGTCTGCTAATTTACCGTCTTATGCCATAAAAAATCATTTCCTCTTTTTTTAATACTTGATTGCACTTCTAATCTAAAAATTATACATATGAAACAGGTTGACATTAAAGCTATGAGTCATCGATTCGTCTTTGACAAGGTGAATAATTTCACGTGGGTTGCTTATGAGATTAGGTCTTGAATTTAGATCAATTAAGCCGGTTTGCAGACTAAAAGCTAAGCGAAGTGAGCTTAGCTTAGTTCGCATAGCCGAAGCAGTTCTCCATACCTATGTTCAGACCGCAAATTATGCGACAGGAATAGAATACTGCGTCGGTTATGTGAACCAAACTAAACCAACTTAGCTTAACCCTCGGTCTGCAACCAGCTTGGTATCGAGTCATGGCACTGATTTTCTTTGTACGATCCCTTTGTTGGAAGATATAGTTATTCTACCCATCAGCAGTCACCACTCTGCAATATTCTCGCTTATTGCGTCTCTAAATCACCAAGAATAGTTTTATACCACTTCTGCCCACTCCTTCAAACAATAATAGACCTTGTTATGAATAATATTTACATTCAATATCCTGGAATGTGTCCACAACCTTCCCTTATTACTACACGATAGTTTTGAGACCGTCATACTACGCGTGGAAATGAAAATTATCAATGACTAAAGCATTCATATGAACGGACACCTCAACCTCTCATCCGTAAGACTTTCTTTTAAATATCAAACAATGGATGTACGTATTATATTTATAAAACATTCATTGAATACTACAATGCTGTTTTGTTTGTACCTACTCGTTTTAGAACTATACAAGTATTGTTTCTCCTTAGGCCCAGGTGACGGCAGAATGGAATACATTTGTCGCAATCCCTTCTCGCTAGGGCAATATGCCAAGGAACTATACTATTAACAGGCTAGGCGGCAGCGCTCTCTGATATGATAACCTTAGTAATTGCGGTCTCCAAGTCCTGACAAAATGTTTTCTGTAGAGGATTATCTTGAGACATACTGAATTAAATAAAAATTATGAGTTACTCACCCACTACTAAAAAAAGCTCTACTAATTTCGAGTCACAGAGGGACTCATCCTCATGAGCAGCGTGCGCGGACGCGGTCGCGGCGATGTCGCGCAGCCTACTGACCGCACACTCATTAGGATGCCTCCCTCTGTTACTCGAAACCAGTAGAGCTTATCTCAATATATTTACGTAACTCGTAATTTTTAGTTAATTTAGAGGAGACTTGTTGTTCAGAAATGGACTGTCACGAGCCCTTACAGTTATGCCCTGCATATAAAGTGGTGACACAAGATTTGTCAAAAACAATTTAAGTTGCTTAAGTTTTGCAGGGCTCTTTCAAAGCGTCCAAATAGAGGAACACACTCAAATTATTATAAACAAAAATACGTAGTTTGGCATAGAGAAGAATGCGCAAGCAACTTCATCTAATCATAAGACATTTCCACATTTTCGACACAACTGCCTCGTACAGCAAAACTGTGGAATGATCTGTCGTCGGCGGTATTTCCGAACCGATACGAACTTCAAACCTTCAAGAAAAGAGCGTATTCATTTTTAAAAGGCCGGCAACGCACCTGTGACTGCTATGGTGTTGCGAGTATCCATAGGCAGCGCTGATCGCTTACCATCAGGTGATCTGCCTGCTCGTTTGCCTCCTAATCCATAAAAAAAAACTTGAGAAATTAATTAATTTTGCTGTTAATAGCACTTCCTTTATTCTGCAAGATAGTTGCCATTTAATTTACTTAATATTCTCATCGTTCCCTCCAGGGTATACAGACGGACTTGGCAGCGGATGGCTCGGTAGACCCTCGTTCCGTGGACGTGTCGCAGCTGCATCAGTCGCGCTTCGGCCTCATCAGCCAGGCCCTGATGCTCATCCTCATCGCTGGCTTCCTAGCTTCTGAGACCCTCAGCGAGTTCTGGAAAACCAAGTGAGTAACGTTTGAGTGTTAGCACTTTTTTAAGGTTGATCCTTCCAAAATTGGTCAAGTTATTAGGAAATGTCATGGTTTGTCGTACTGACTATCTACTTTGGTGTCGTATTTTGACAAATTTTAATCTTAATTTGCTGTTGCGCGCGACTTCGTCCGCGTAGAATATGACAGACACAAATTGGAAAAAAAATTGGTATGTTTATATGACAAAAATAAACAAAAAGAAATAAATATGACAAAAATAAAAAAATATAACAAAGAGGCACTACCAATTTTATTAACCTATAGAAATGAGGCATCCACCAAAACATAATCATCCAATTTAGGAAGACCAGCTAAAATCAATGCAATACTGTCTAAAGTATCCAATTGGTCGCTGACCTAATCGTAAAGGTTTCGTCTACAATGTCAAGGTCCAAATAACTAATTACGATCATCATCTTCCCGACTTATCCTCAATTAAAGGAAGTACTTTATTATACACGACATTTGCACAGACCAGTAAGTCAACCTACTTGCAATTGGTAATTTTTTCATGAGATTTTCGACTGTAATACCTGAACTATAAAGTCGAAACTCAGATTGGAGTATAGTCCAGATCTGCTAGCCACTGTCCACTGACTCACACTCACTTACACCCACCATTTTCTGTGCTCTTCCAAAGAGTTTATTAGCAGAGGTGCGCATACCCAACTAGTGAAACAAGACTTTTTTGTTTCGCTATGTTCCAATTAATTATGTCTGTCGTTGGTTATGCAAATTTTATTTTACGAATAATTGTTTTAATGTAAATTCTTTTGAATCATATTTTATTTTAATTTATTAGTGTAGTTTAAGTTATCAAACTTTTTTTTAAATTTATTGGATGGACGTTTGACCACTATCTCGCCTGATGGTAAGCGAAGATGCGGTCTACGATGGAGTACGTCGTCCTATACGCAACCTATTCACTAATAACCGTTTAGTGTCTCAAGTTATTGTGTTGTAGAATATATTAGGAGAGTCCAATATGACGGTTCAGCTCCAATTAAATTTTGAAGATGTAAATAATAAGAATAAAGTCCCTTGCCCATATGGAGATAGCTTCATCAATATCGCCATTGATACAAGACGTCCACCATTGAATATAACCCTCCAAAGATTTCTAGATCGTCAAGATGAAAAAATAAGACGATTTTCCTTAAATTCCAGAGTCCCAGTGGTATCCCGTAACTGGCATGACCTGGTGTTCCGTCTAGCGGAGATCGGTGTAGCGCTATGGTTCCCGTGTGTCCTGTGGAACTCCATGGCTCCCGAGCGCCTGTGGTTGCTCAACCCCCGTCGCCTGTTGGCTCGCCAGCTCGACGACGCGAGACTAGCCGACCTACTCGCCCAACATCATGACGCCAAGGTAATGTGGAATTTGTTTCTTAGGTCACAGGTGTGATTTTTGTTTGAAGGGTTTTTGTTATAGAAGTGTTTCTACGATTGTTATACAATTAAGAAGTTAAACTTACCGATTCATGATAGAATTAGCGGTCTTCGAGTTTTTAGTTGCCATTTTTAAATATGCGTTGTTTTTAATAATTTCACGATATCTAGTTGTAGTTCTAAAACAATATTTGTTAAACTTGTATTATTTTGTTATTAAGAGCTTTAATGTAAGCTTTTTATTTCACGTTACTAATAGGACGTTATCTTTGTGAAATGACGTCACAAAGAGAATGTAAATGAAACTGATAAGGAAAATGGCGTAGTCCGTCACAGGGATTTATTGCGTATTATTTATGACATCATTTGTAGTTTAGATATAATTTTGTCGAGAGATTAGGGAATTTAGTTCAGAGGGTGTATACGCTTTTGTTTATTTTCAACGAGATCGCAACGTTACCGCGTTTAGCCATCTGATCGGTTAGTTCATTGAAGCAGGCCAGTCAGAGGCCTTAGTACTCCTAATACCTGCACTCGTACGGAGCCGTCCAGCTATATCATAAACTAAATAAAATACTGTTTCGAAATCAACATTTCCAATAATATTTCGACCTTACTCAGAGATCTGATCTACAAATTATTTAAAAACATAAAGAGTCGTAATAATGTAATAGTTCAATGTTATACAACATTCAAGAATACTTATTGAAAGCCACAAGCTATTGTTTGAATAGACTAATGTAGGTGGACAAATGTAAATAAAAATAACCACAAATCGATGTTTGTTACGAACGAAAACAATTAAATTTGATTTGAATTTTATTATATTTTATTTTATACTACGACGGTGGCTAAAAAACACACGGCCCACCTGATGGTAAGCGGTTACCGTGGCCTATGTACGCCTGCATTCAAAGTCAAAGTCAAAGTCAAAATCATTTATTTCAATTAGACCAGAAAGGCACTTTTGAACGTCAATAATAAAATTAATAGTGAAGCTATTTGCTCATTCCAAGGTGTAGATTCCTATGGAGAAGAACGAGCAAGAAACTCCATAGGTTACTCTTTTTCAATCAGGTTCACAATACAATTCTCTAGTTATTATAATCAATAGCTACTTCCGCGCGGTTTCACACGCTCTGCTCAGCTCCTGTTGGTCCTAGCGTGATGTTTTATAGCCTATAGCCATCCTCGATAAATGCGCTATCGAACACAAAAATAATTATTTAAATCAGACTTGTAGTTATGGAGATTAGCGCGTTCAAACCAACAAACAAAGAAATAAACTCTTCCGCTTTATATAATTGTATAAGATAAGACTGACACGTTCTTAGATGCCAATTTCAATCATCTATTATTTCTATGATCTCAAAGGATCGATTTTTGATATTAGTTGATCATAGCGTTGTCGCGCAGCCTACTACGACCGCGCACGCTACTCATGAGGAAGAACCTCTCCGTGGTTCGAAACTAGTAGAGCTTTTCTCAGTATTTTCACGTGAATTTTTAGTTAATTGAGAAAGGTTATTGAAATTGACAGTGTGTCAACATATACGTCGTAGCTAGTTTAAAATTATGACAGCTTGCACCACAGACAACAAATAAAAAATTCCATAATTAGCTTATAGCTGTCTCACGGCTGGACACCGGCCTCTTCTCACATAGAGAAAAAATGAGCATTAATCACAAACGAATTGCCGATTGAAAACTTGTAGAGCAAAATATGATTAGGCTTTCTGGAATTATTAATACTAGTATTGAGTCTAAAATAATAGTCGGTATTAAGTAATTGTCATGCCCTCTATTCCAATTGTATTAAAACATAAAATTGAACGGCAATAAGGCTTACTGGTAAATAAATATTATACATAACTCGCGATAAATTAAGAGTTCTTTATGTAAAGTTATTGTTCTGAACAGGGAACAAAGAGAAAGTGATGATAACACAGAACTAATTACTGTAATTACGTGTGATAACTTTATGGAGGCGCGAAATGTCGGTCATTCAACTTTAGCCACTAAGATATGTAGGAATAATCAAGCATTGTAGAAGTAATATGAACTTAAATAATTTTTATCACTATTAAAAGTTAGTTAAGACATTAAAGATTAGTAATTTGAGAAGTCTGCTCGACCAATTTCAAGCCACAACAAGGGCTCATACTTGGCTTGAAATTAATTGAGCTACCGCCTTAAATAGTTACGTGATCTGAGCAAACCGTAATATTAAATTAATTTAGTATAAGCATCTCCTAATCAATGATTAGTTAGTTATAGTATTTGACGACGGGTTTGTACGAATGCTGAAGTCTTAGGGACGATTCCTAGGTGAGGTGAGGATGAGTTGATGAGTCGAACTAAAGTCGAATTTACGGCCTCGGATCCTGTAGTAGTTACACTGCAAAATTCATGACGGCCAGACAAAGTCAAAAGTAAATGAAATAATTAATTTTTATATATAGATTCCAGGTTTGTTCTAATTATTGTGATAGCACTGAATTATATATTTTTATATATATTGTTAATTTGGCACATAGCCTTTTTGTCACTCGTTTGTATGTCGGAAAATTCGTGAGAAACGAAATCCGTTGTGTCCTATTTATTATAATTATATTTTTATATTTATCCATTGATTCATTATGGTATCGATTGGTCTTCAAGCTTTATATGCTATGCTTTTGTGTGATATTTGAATGTATAAAGACAGAATTGTATACTTATATGCTGTCTCATAATATATTTTGTCTAAGAGATTGTAAATCTCTACTTCTACGTTGTAGCATTCAATTTTACTTTTAACACTTTTAGATATTTGAAGATTGATGCGATTTTTTCGGCATAGTTTTGTACTTTGGTGAGCTTTCGACCAAGATCTAAGTATGGTCGATTGAGCTAAATACAAAATTTGAACAAAAAATCACGTTAATCTTCACAATATCTACAGGGTTTAATTAGCTACATATTTGTCGAGAAACCGTCCTTAGCTATAAATTGCTTCATCAATGTTTTCGTAAAACACATTTTGGGTATGGAGTTTGCACATGTCATGAAATTCTAGGTTCCTTCAAACCTGTTGGTTTTTTCCCAGAATTTGGTGGAAAGTCACCGTTTGTCTTGGACGGAGAGAGCTCAGTTGGTCGTGAGGGTGGTCTCTTTATGCCGATGTTTTGTAGCCAGGACTATACTGAGTGTGTTCCGACCACAATTATTAGCTGTTAGAGACAGTGCTGAAGATCCAAGCGATACTGTTTCGGACTTGCCTGCCAAATTCGCTGCTAAGCGGGTAAGTGTAGTTATTCGTTTGTCGTATTTGGCTGATTCGCGAATTGAATTGTTTTTTTTAGAATATTTTTAGGTTTTTTTTATAAGTGAGATTGTGGACATTATAGTATATTCATTATGTAGATATGTCTCAGTACATTTATTAGGAATACTTTTATTATTAGGGATCTGTTAAGTAACACTCATAATTATGTATTTGTCATTTAGTTAGCAAAAAAATAATACTGTTTGTTTCTACATTGTTATTTTTAACATTACTTAGGATGAAATTCGCTCACCAAACAATTCAACTATTTGACATGGAATCCTGGCCGTAGGGTAGCCTTTTTTTAAAGTAATGTAATATTTATAAACCCGACACTGTTTACAGCAGAATGTGGAGACAGACTCGTTGGTGGGCAGCGTGGGGTCCGCGCGAGACTGCTGGATCTGCTACGACAGCTCGCGCTCCGAGCCGCTCATCCGGCCCTGTCGGTGCACCGGCGACGTGTCTGCCGTGCACCACGACTGTCTCAGCCGTTGGCTGGTTGAAGTAAGTGCATATTGTAATGTACATTTTTCTATTAATATCATGTTTTTGTATAGAATCCTCTCTGTAAGTATTATAGTCAAAAGCAGACTACACGGTTGATACAGGGGTCTAGGCATCCGGTTCATTTATTTATTTATACATTTGGAAAACCAACAACTATACACTTTGATTGAATAAAACGTGGCATGCAACAAAAAGCCAATTATTATGTTCCAGGATTAGTAACAGACAATAGAAACATGCCAACACAATACTAAAATTAATTTTTAAACTTATTAGATTGTTTATCTACACATTCATTTCATAAAAGCAACATGATATGCTTTATCAGCGAAAGCAATTGAGTAAGAAAAGAGAAAGAGAGAGTGAGATAGAGTGATAGTAAGTGTGTGAGAGCCATGCTTCGGCACAAATGGGCCGGCTCGACCGCTGTGATACCACGGCCGAGCAGAAGACCGACGCTTACGTTGTGTTTCGTCCGGTGAGTGAGGTTACCGGAGTCCCAATTACCCAATATTATAATATAATTGTAATATGCTAAGTATACTAATAATTAATTATGATTAGTATACTTAGCATATTACAATTATTTGTTCGGTGATTGACCCGAACAATCATAATAAACTGTGTTTTGTTTACAGAGCGCGGCTAGCCCTGACGGTTTGAAGTGCAAAGTATGCAACACACCTTACATCGTACAGGAGACGAACAGGTTGGTGTTTTAATTCATTTTTGTCATATTGTGTAACTACTTCAAACAGCCTTTTTTCAATCACTTTGACTAGATTTTAGTGTTACATTGTTCTCGCACAATCCAAACAGCAAACTATGTAACTGGACAATTGTATTGTGAACCTGATTGAAAAAGAGTAACCTATGGAGTTTCTTGCTCGTTCTTCTCCATAGGAATCTACACTTTGGAATGAGCAAATAGCTTCACTTCTAATTTTATTGTTGACGTTCAAAAGTGCCTTTCTGGTCTAATTGAAATAAATGATTTTGACTTTTGACTTTTTAAAGTCATAGTCAAAGCATTATTTCAATTAAACCATAATTTGGTATTTTTGAAACGTCAAGAAATACAAAATAAACAATAGTCTGTCAGTCAGTCCGTCAGTGAAGCTAGGTGCCCATTTCAAAATGTAGATTCGAATGGAGAAGAACGAGCTAGAAAACTACATTCGTTACTGTTTTAAAAAACTCTTATTATTACTTATATGGATTTTCAACTTTATCGTAAAGCAACAAAGTGTAGTATTTAAAGTATTCACAAATATATTTTTGTCTTTGAAATGGTAATAATAAAGTATGTGTATTGTAGAGTGGTATGGGAGCGCGGGTTCACGGTGGCGCACTGGGCGCGCACGGCGCTGGCGGTGGCGTGCATGTGCGCGGCGGGCGCGGCCGCCTGGGTCTGCGTGCAGCTCGCCGCCTCGCCCGTCGCGCGCGTGCTCGCCGCCGGCGCCGCGCTACTCGTCTGCTACGTCGCCATCAGGTAATATAACCACTTTCAAAAATAAAACTAAAACCACAAAAAATAAAACTACTTTAAAAAAAGTGGGTGTTACTTCTGTGTGCACCTCTGCCTACCCCTTCAGGGATAAAAGGCGTGATGTTGTGTAAAAAATAAAATTAACTTTGTAAGAGCCAAGCCATGCTTCGGCACGAATGGGCCGGCTCGACCGGAGTGATATCACGGCCGAACAGAAGACCGACGTGAAACAACGCTTGCGTTGTATGCAGCTTTGTAAGTGATGTTACTCTCGATGTCCCTGGTCGACGATCGGTCGGTGTTTTTTAGCAACTTTGTAACTCCTCTGCAGCTGTAGCCAAATGCCATTTAGCGCTTGTCTACATGTAGAATAGAAAACCAAATTATAAGGAATTGACGTAAAATTTGACACTTGTCAGTGTCATCCTCATACATTTTGATTTCTACTCTCTCTGTAGACAAGCGCTAAAGTGGCGTTTGGCTAAAGGCACTGGTGTTACTAGTATAGATAAGCGATATTGCTGTTTGCATACTTCCATCACTCTTTTACTATTTACTATCTTGTATTTAAAGTTTATTCAATTATACCAGTCTCAAATCCAACCTTATGTTCACGTGACTAACACAATAACTATTTTCAGATTCCTTGGCATGAACACAGTGAGCGCTTACCAGCGCGCGAAGGTTTCGTCCCTGCGCATCTTGACCGAGCCATTAACAGAAATAACGGGTCAAAACGACCAGGGACAACTCTCCACCATCAGCAACACAGTCACAGTGGAAATAGCATCGAAAGTCGTCCTCGAACGGGCACTCAAGGGTGAAGTGAACAAATAAAAAAAACTGTTTCAATAACTATTAAATAACGGTGAATAACTATTTGAATAATGGTGAATAACGTTTAAAAAAACGGTGATACGTCAGTACAAACGCAGTGAACAGTGATGTGATACAGTGGTAACGAACTCGATATTTATTTATTCGAGGCCCTAAGAACTATTGCGAAGTATTTCCTAGACAAAAAAAAACTATAAAATTGACACAAAATTACGTAAATTTAAACTTTAATAAGACTTGGATTAAAAACATGTGAAAAATTACCATAGAAGTGTGGTTTCTTAAACAGTCGATTATTCGACTAACTCGCGAGTATACGGACTAATCGACTAAATACTTGTTTGTATAAAGTATATTAAAATTATATTTTAATTCTTCTCCTTTATTTTTCGGAGTAAGAGCTTATTCCACGCGTTAGTATTGCCTTAATTATTTCATTATTGTATGCAATTAAGATACCTAAAATTACACGTAAACATTTTATTGTTATTCTCTTTATGCCAAATGCTTTTTTATTGTAAATTCTAAATTAAAAGTATGGAAAATAAGACGAGAAAACATAGTTTGAATGTTATAATTAATATTTATAATTTGATGCACGACACCAATTTTTTAACAAATTCAAAATGGCTGCTATGGTTTTGGCGCATAATTTGACATTTATTATTTGTTGTCAATGTCAGTTGATAGGCCATAGAGTTTGGCGCGTACTGTTGAACTTTTTTGATTTAGTATGTAGCCTTTTTGTTTGATTACCTGTATATTTATTTATTAAGATCTCATTGCGTCGTGCTCACATAGTTTCTTTTGAAAGTCATTTCCATTTTCTGTTATTTTTTTTTGTTAAGATGATATACGTACTATTGAAATGGCGGTGTATTTGTGAGTAGTTGTTCGGGAACATTAGTTTTATTTATCAGTGATATATTTTTATTTTATTATTATGTTTGTGTGCGTATTTATTTAATTTTAATCATTTGTAAAAATAGTTGTGAGTTTCAAAAACGTTTTGACTCCAAGATTAAGCTTTTTTTATCTGTGCCTAACCTCTCGATACTAAATAAATTTAAAAAGACTGAATGTTAGACACTTACTTATTAATTTAATCTCGCAAGAAAAATGAAGAAGTCTCGATAACGATTACGACAAAAATAGGTCGCTAATAGGTCGTCAGGTTATAGATTTTCTTCTTTATTATAAAAAGATAAGCCTGAAAATCTATTGAAGATATTCACGATTTAGCGATCAGATTTTATCGTTATTAATATTGCGACTGCCTTGTAAAAAATAAAAATATATTACTTACTACTAATTAAATTAACTAAAAATCGCGGGTTAACGTGAATATGCTGAGAAAAGCTCTACTAGTTTCGAACCACAGAGGGGTTCTTCCTCATAAGCAGCGTGCGCGGTCGCAGCGATGTCGCGCCGCCTACTCATAGACCACTTATTACTTCAAGTAGAGCTTTTCTCATTCTCAGTATATTCACATGAGTAACCCGCGATATTTTGTTAATTTAGTATGTCTCACGATAGTTATTATAAAAACATTACTACTAATTATTATCTGAATACGTACACAACATAAAATCTTGAATAACTATTCACAAAATATGTCGTTTTATTTAAATTATAATGAAAGTGAGGTAAATTTGATTGTAGAAGGAAGGTTTGAAGAGGCTATGGCGGGGCTCGTTCCTAACCGCTGACAGTTGTGATATTATTACAGCGGTTTTTGATTTATACAGAAATCCTTATAAATACAAAATAAATAAATAAATATTATACATTACAACCTTACCCTTTTTTGTTTTATTTTTTGGTTCTTTTCCTTTTTTTTCAGGTTATGTTTTGTTTTTAGTTTTTTTTATTTCTTTGAGAGCGTAGAGACCACGTCGCCTAGAGGAAGAAATAAAAATATTATTTTGTTTTTCATTCTTCTGTATTATATTTACTAGCTACTTCCATACGCTTTCACCCGCTCCGCTCAGTGTGATATTTCATAGACTATAGCCTTCCTCAATGCTAAATAAATGCTCTATCTAATATAAAAAGAATTATTCAAATCGGACCTGTAGCTCCCGAGATTAGCACGTTCAAATAAACAAATGCTCAGCTTTATATAAGCGACCCGCTCCGGCATCGCACGGGTTCAATATGCATGTATTATACATATAAACCTTCCTTAAGAACCACTACCTATTTAAAAAAACCGCTTCCTTTTAAAGATCTAAGCATACATAGGGACAGGCGGCGGATAGCCACTTTGTTTTATACTATGTAGGGAAGTAATAACATTGAATACGTTTTGCAACCCAGCCCTGTTTAAAGTATATAGTACAAAAAATAATGTATATTATTATTTGTGCCAAAAATGTATGAGAAATGAACGAAGTTTGTAGCATATTAATATAATAGGCAAGCCAATCAGACATGTCGCTTTTCATAAAAGCATCTCAGCGAAAAGCAATTGAGTAAGAAAAGAGAAAGAGAGAGTGAGATAGAGTGATAGTAAGTGTGGGTGAGCCATGCTTCGGCACGAATGGGCCGGCTCGACCGGAGTGATACCACGGCCGAGCAGAAGACCGACGTGAAACAACGCTTCAGTTGTGCTTCGTCGTGTGAGTAAGGTTACCGGGGGCATAATTAACAATCCTACAATCTTCAAATTCCTTATCTCAAAAGGCCGGTAACGCACTTGCAACGCCCCCGATTGCTTGCCATCGGGTGATAGGCTTACACCATAAAAAAGAGAGTGGGAGGGAGGAAGATTCATAAGTGGCAGTGGTAGTGAGTGTGGCTTGCGTGCTTGTTTGAACAATAATTTACGTACTTGTTCCTTTACTGATTAAATTATATATTATGTGCTACTTATTTATTTTGTGACAAATTAGTGAAGAAATAAAAATGTGTATCTACCTAATTATTTTTAGTAGTGCAAAGTAAAATGAGGCTATGGATGCAAAAGATTTCGCATTTTGAAGGAAGACATAATATAAGTTCGTGCATATTATAATATTTTTCTTTTATCTATACATATTGTACCTGTAGTAGCAAGAAGCATTCAAAGCTTTACATTTAGCTACTTACACATTCAGATGTCTTATTTTTATATCTATAAATCATAATCGCATATTTGTCTAAAATTATTCGCAAAAATGTTTAAAATGAAGGTAAAATCGATTCTAGATAAAAAATAAGTCTTTTTCTGCCAAATTATGTATTTAAATTGTAGTTTGAATATAATTTCCGCGTAGATTTAATGTAAGTATTTAAATATCGAAGTTTGTCTAAAATTTGGAATTATAGTACTATTTCTTGATAAGTTCAGTGTAAGGGTTGTCCATAATTTTTAAATTGGAGTGCAATATAAAAATAAACATAATTTAAAAGCTAATAATCAAGGATACGAAGCAATGGTATCATTCTTAACAAATAAAAAATTGTAAGTACATATTCGTAGGCGCTTAACTGTCAATTAGAATTTAGAATCTGTGGAAATTTCGCGCCATTTAAATTATATTTTTATTAACTTAGAGAAATATAATCTATATTTTGCTATTCTATTCTTGTAGTAGCGTAGATGGCTAGAGTTGCGTGATTTTACCTCATTCAGTAGTTTATTATGTAAAAAGTAAATAGAAGTAGTAAAACTTGTTGACAGAGCCATTCCGTTTTCGATATTTTGTTATTAAATTCAGAGCCCGTGTTATCCATAAGGCATAATAGGCAAGTGTACAGTGTGAGACAAGGACGTCAGGCTACAGAGAAGTGCTGCGAAACGCGCGTGGCCAACAGCCCATAGAGAGGCGACGACACCAAAAAAATTAAGGGCGCCTATGATGCTTGCCTAAGACGCTCACTAGGTTGAATACGCCTCTGGTTAAATTGAAAGTTTATTCAAACGGGTCTAAATTCCCAAACTCCAAGCTTCTGACAGAGAAATTAAAAAATATCTACATAATACGAAAGCAATTCTTTCATGGTGCTAAGATCTTCTCAATCCCCGACTATGAAAAATCCACAACATTTGTTCATACAAATGTAGTCTCTAAACATAGGAAATAAAGTTTATATTGGAGAAAGTGGAGAGCGGCCACCGGTGACTGCTAGGGGACTGGACAGTTCACAATATTGGACCATTCATTCACTGTCGAACGCTGCAATAAACAAAACAAATTGTTCATCTTTGTTGTTGATAATGTTGAAAGAAATGGGAATAAAGTAAAGTTTTGATAAATAAATATAGTGTAACTTAGGTACTTAGATTATAATAAATCATATCATTTTCATCGAAACTAGTGCAGATGTTAAACTTTACTTATTTTATGAAGAGATTTTATCTATTAAAGTAGGCATGTATTTCTATCTACTAAGTATAATTATTCTTGAAGATTAAGAAACTCTCAATCATGATCGCTTTAGTAACTTGTGATTAATAAAAAATAATGTTAAAATAGGTCTATAATTGTAATGTATTGTCACATTGGAAGATACATTGTAGAAGCACGATGGGATTGACATCGTCACAATGTGTACAAAAATCCCTTGAAATAAATGAGATTAAAAAAAAAAGATACATTAATTCAATGTATTTTTGTCATAGATCAAAGACGTTAATGATTGAGGGTTTCCTAACGAAACAATTACCTATTACCATACCTGTTTCTGTGTTTTAAGCACTGTTATACATACAGTAAACGTAAAGCTCCCGAAACGCTGACAAAAAGCAACTTTTTTTAATTTTAATCGTTCTTGTTTTTGTATTATTCATGTGTGGGAGAGCCATGCTTCGGCACGAATGGGCCGGCTCGACCGCAGTGATACCACGGCCGAGCAGATAGTCGACGTGAAACAACGCAAACGCAACAACGCTTGCGTTGTTCCACGTCGTGTGAGTGAGGTTACCGGAAGCCAAATTACCGCCCCCCCCCCCCCCTTCTCCTAACGCTGAATCTCCAACAACCCTCAAATTCCTAATCCGAAAAGGCCGGCAACGCACTTGTAACGCCTTTGGTGTTCCGCATGTCCATGGGCGACGCCGATTACTTACCATCAGGTGATCCGTCTGCTCATTTACCGGCAAAAAACATTTTATCCCGTACTTATATGATGAAAGATGACTTGTTTTTTTACAATCACCTGTCAGCGCTTTTCGGGAGCGTGCCGTGTACACACTGTATTCACTTATAGATGGAATCTACTCCATTCTAGCATTTCTAAGTATTTCTAAGTATTCCGTGACATTTTACTTAGTATTTTTCCAAAATAATGAAAGTGTAGTGATCAAAATTCTGCCAACGTCTTGTAAAATTTCACATTTAAATAAGAATCGGTATCTTCTAGAAGTTAGTGATTTTGAATTAAGTAATAATTATTAAAATTGTAATTTATTATTATTATTAGATTACTACAGACTTCTATTTTATTTTATTCTTGTATTGTAAATATCGTATTTAAGGTTAAATTTCCAGTATTGTGACGTAAAATCTGGATGGTCGTGAAATTAAAGACAGTTAAGTAGTAAACATTGTTTTATTTATGGAGTATGGAGTTCCTAATGTAGTAAAGCCTCGTGTTTTAACATGAAATTAGCTTCTGCCCGTGACTTCGTACGCGCAATCCCGTTTTCTCCTGTTCCCGTAGGATTTTTTCAGTTTTTTTCTGTCATAAGAACTTTTTCCTGACAATAACAAACACAACAAAACAGCCAAATCGGTCTAGCCGTTCTCAAGTTATGGCGTGACAACGGGAAACGGGTTTCATTTTTATATATATAGATAGAAGGCAAACGAACGTATATTTCCTAATTTGCCCAAGTCCTCAAAACACAAGAGAAAATGCATAAACCTAATATGATTTCACAAAATACATTTTTATGTAAAATATTACTTCTGTCAGCGGCTTCACTCACATTTCTATGGTTAAAAAGTAAAAGTAACCTATGTGTTACTTAAGACTAATAATCAACCTCTGTTCCTTTAATCTCAGCTCCTTCAGCTATTTTGATGGAACTGAGTAAGAAACACACACAACCTCACATATTGTCCCATTTATAATATCAGTTCAAGCATATTTTAGCCATAGGTCCTACAGTTACAGTGTAAAGTCCTAGCAACCTAACATTCGACAAACTTATATTTGCGTTTGGTATAGTAACTGTGTCTAGGGAATGAGCCGTACAATTAAGTTTGTTTTTTCGTGTATATAATTTTTCGGGATAAAAAGTACCCAGTGTTGTGCACAGGATATTAAAGTATAATTATACCAAGTTTCATCGTAATCGTACCGATAGTTTTTGCCTGATTCGGTGTCCATGTAGTAACACTCCCTACTATTTCTTTTTATATTTTCAGTATACAGAATTTACACTT